CCCTAGCACCAAAACGCAATGACCACTAATCTTAGGTGGCTCATAACTGCAAATAGCTCTGGAACTAATTAATTTGACAGTGCGGCGGCTGCTTGCCTTTTTCACCAAAATCAATTAAGAAAACGCACATTTCCCCTTCTCCCCCGTCCCCTCCCCGCGCCGCTTCACAGTGAGGCAGAAAGGAGAAGAGGCAGCGAGGACTGGGCGCTGCTTTCCCAGGGCTCCTGGAGCGTCAGGGTGGAGAGTGGAGCGCGGGAGCACAGTGAAAGGAGACGCTGCTCGTTCTCCACAACAGGAGCGGGGATGCTCCCTGGGGACGAGTGGCGGTGGGAAAGCTTGATTGCCACATGCAGCCACGCTGTGCCGCGTTCCTCCCTCCCTCCGTCCCAGCTCCCTGAAGACCCCCGTGAATTGTCATTCCTTGCCAGTGCAGGGGGGGAATTGGCCATCGGGCTCTCAGAGCATTTTTTTATTTGCATGGCTAATGAGCCACTCCAGAAGGGGCTGCAAGGGAGAGGCAGGTGGGAATTTCGGCACTGTTTGCTTGCCAAGCGAGGGCAGAGGTCTGTGTTAAAAAGGGTTCAGCTAGAAATTTAGGGAGACAAATTTTGCAGGAAGCAGCAGTAGGAATCTGAGTGGGGTCTCATGCAATTTTTAAGGCTCCTGGCCGTGGATCTCCATGCCCAGGCAGGTAAAGGCAGGGAGAGTGCTGGAGGGGCTATGGCTCCCTCTGCCCTGGGTTGGGTGTGGGGGGGCTAGAGTCTAAGCTGGGGCGATGTATCAGCATCACACTGCTTCCCAAAAATCACAGCAAGAACAGGACCGCCCTCCATGCTTGTTCTTCTGGTTCCACTTCCAGATGGAAAAGAGAACCAGGTCTGAGGGAAACGGGTTGAGTGATGGCAGGGCTCCGTGAGCACGCAGCTCCCCCAAACACTCTTTTCAAGGAATGGGAGACAACTGTTCTTAGGACATGATGTTGAGACACCTGGCCAGGCTGGGTAAAACCTCCTGAGCATTATTTCTATAAATGCCTCCATTTGGTCCATATCACATCCTCCCATCTCTACTGAAATGCCCTTCTATTAATAAATAACTCCACTCTCCATTACTCCATCTCCACAACTCACGTTGAAGTAACTGGGAATTTGGGTTTGGTTTTTATAGACATTAGAAATAGATTTTATCTTTATTAAGGGCTCTGTCTCCACCGCACCAACCTTTGCTTCATTGCACAAAGCAGAGCAGTGGCTGGAGCAGAGGAAGCAGGTTACTGGGCTGTGCTCAGGATGGGTAGAGGAAGGAGAACCTCTCCCTGGTTTTGGCCAGGGCAGAAAGGGTTTTAAAGGGCAAGGTTCTTCCCTGTGCATTGGTGACCTGTCAGTACATCTCTACAGCATGGTGTAAGGCTCTTGAGAAAACAAGAGAGAAAATTTGAATGACGAATATTTAAGAAATTGTGGATCTGAAAGATTCAGTTCTCAAGGTTTTGTTTGTTTTTTCTTTGTGGTGTCTTGGGAAATACCTATCAGGAAACCTCCCCGAGTGCAGTCATGGTGCTGAACCACCACATAAATTTGGGGAACATTTTCTATTTCTAAACTGTGGGTTGCAAACAATCCCTGGAAAATATTTGAGTTTTGAAGTGCATTGGTTGGTCGTGATTGGGCAGGGAAGTCACAGGGCGGCATTTTTATCCCTGGCTTGGACGGCAGCATGGTTTCTGGCATGGAAATCAGTGCATGTAAATTAGAACTGTGGTTTTGATGAATACTATCATATATGGATTGGAAGCTGATTTTCCAAGAGTAGTCATGCCAGGAAAACTTGTGCTCTCACACAGCCCCAGGCAGCAAACACAAGTGACACAAACATGGTGAGGGTAAGTTCATTTACAACTGTGACTGTTCAAAAAGTATTTCTAAAATTTGCCTTCCCTGCTGTTCCTCCCCTGTCCCCCCTTCCTCCTCCCCTTCCAGCTATGCCAGAATGAGCTAGAAGGTTTGGTATCCAGCCTTACACAGCGGCTGGTGCTGGGCTGGCGGGGATCAGCGCCACGGCCGTTGCGCACCTGGGCGCAGGTAAGTCTCCAGCAGGGTGGGGACTGGATTCCTTCCCGGCCCCTCTCAGCAAACAGCTCCTGCCCCGGAGCCCTGCGTTCCTCTGCCCTTATCTCCCTGTGCAAGGCAAAGCTATAAATGTTATTGGCCATGAAGTTATTCATCCCCTTCAAAGTTACGCATATGCAAAACAGGCTCTCCTGCTGGAATGAGAGCCTCCGTACCAAGTGTGAGTGTTTAAAGGTGGTTTTTTAAAATGAAAATCTCTAAGAAAGAAGTGCATTAACATATAGCAACATTAATAGCACTAGATCTGTATAAACTTAATTATATATGTTACCACAAGTAAACAACCACAGTATTTCTTACATGGTAAATATACTCTAGCGCCAGGGATGGCTACACTGAGGTGCAGAGCAATGGCCCAGCTGGACCATGCAGTTGGCAGTGAAGAGAATAAGGAGGAGCTTGAGTTGGGACATAGGTCCTGCCTTCGTCACAGGCAGAACTCAGCCCCTTGCTGTCCCTTTCCCAGGGATGTGGCATCAGTCCGGCCCCTGAAGTGTTCTGCTGGCACACAGCAGCCTCCATCCCAGTTGGATGCTCTGATAGTCCTACCAGAGCAGCACACAGCAGTAAGGGCTGTCAGCAGAGAATTTCAAAGCTCAGAAGACCCCACTGCCTTCTTCTGGGAGTTTATAAAATTCATTCAGGTTCATACCTGTTGTTGTTCTAAGCTCATTCCTTTCTGAGGAATGGCTCAGCGCAAGAAAGAAAAGTAGCTGTTTTACTTTTCTCATAACTTGGAGAATTCAATCATATATAAAGAGTGGGACATCTGTTACATCTCTCTGACCTCTGAAGCTGGAAGAAGCCATTCCCCCATTTATGGCATGTCTCCTATTTTATTAGATTCATGCACAGGCTGTATCAGCTGCTCCCTGTTTTTTCCCCCACTCTAACTGTTGATGGCTCAGACCGAGACCTTTGCAATGTTTCAAGCCAGCTGAGCCTGGAAACCTCTGGATGATCCAGGCAGCGGTTCCCAAACACTCTGTCCCATCCACTTCCCATCTCCCGCTGCAGGGCAGCTCTCTGCAGAGGGTGGCAGTGCCAGGGTGAAGCGATGTGGAACGGGGCTTTTTGGGGAAGCAAATGTGAGACCCTGGACAGCTTCTGTCCCACATCTCAACATCCACGACCCAACATCAAACATGTCACTGCAGCCTGAGCCCCCACGGGCCTGATGGAGGAGCAAAAAGAGAGGGCTGGAGGCAGCAGATCCTAATCTTTATTAAATAAGAACAAAGCTTATGCCGGCTAATGAGAAAAACAAACCGATGAAAGATCCGGCGAGCTCCTCAGAAGGACACAAAGAAATTCTCTCTGAACAAGAGCAGGCTAAAAATATTCCTGGATATTTATTTTGCTGGCAGTGTCTTCACAGGCTCCAGATTTGATGCCGCCTCTTTGGGGATTGGTATGGCCGTCGCAGCGATTTCGGAGGAGGGTGCTCCAAACTCTGCATGACGCCCAGAGTCACGGCAGAAACAGCCCTGCAGCCAAAACATGAGAGCATGAACTGCCTCAGCACTGTGAGATGATGGCCAGTCCCTGCACACCTCTGTTTCTCTACAGGCAACAGGGTGTTTTACTATGGGTTTACATCCCTCACCATCTTGTTTGGAGTCAGTGTGTAAGAGCCAGAGATGCTGCAGGCATTTTTCTCCAGTTTCATTCCCCTTCTCGACACAGGTCCCTGTGCATGTGGTGCCAAGGCTGCTGTCACCAAGGCTTGCATTGATGCTGAGCATCCTCAGCATCACAACTTCAGACACATCAGGAACAACTGGCAAGAAACTGGAGACACTAGTGATCTTATCCAGCTTGAGCCCACAGTGTTCCCCCAAAAGATCTCCATCACCTCCTGGGCCTTTCCAGCTTCACATCTCCTCCCTGCAGCAAGCCACAGCCTAAGCAGCAATCATCAGCAAAGATATGGGCATCGTTTGCAAGCAAATCCCAAACCACATGAAGCTGCCCAGATTGCAGCTTCATTGTAACATGTAGTGTTACAAACTCCAAAGCCCAGACCACGCCCTGGGAAACCACCAGGGCAGGGAGTGTTTCAGGAGGTCGTGATCAGCCCAGCATGGGCTGTGAACCCCAGAGAGTAAACCTGCATCCACGCAGGGGTTTGCAGAAATTCAGTCAGCCTGACTGTTTCGCATCTCCTGCCCTTCTCACTGGCCCCTAAAACCCCTGTCCAGCCTGTTGTCTCCAGAGATGTTTAGCAGGAGGTGATGCCATCACAGCACTGGGTCAGACCACCCAGCTGGGACAGGCAGCTGTGGGGGCTGCTCCGAAATCAACTCCCAGCTTCACAGCTGCCCCCACTCTCCCATACAGGCTGAGCCCCAAACCTTAGCATTGAGTACCACTGACCTTGGCTGAAAACATTGCTTCTAAAGGCAAAAGCAATGCAGTGACAAGGCCTGCAGTTCCTCCTCCGCTTCTGCTGTCGCTGACCATGAAACTTCAGCCTCTGCTCTGTTAATGTACTGTGGCTGAACTTGCTGCCAGCGGGTCAAAGGGAACATAATTTACTCGGGCTTTGATGCATTTGATACAGTTTGGGGTGAAAAGGGAGAGGGGGAGGACAGGAGACGAAGGGAATAAGCAGTGGCAGGGAAGGAAAGAGGTTGCCTGTTTGCATGGGAACTGGATTAGTATGAAGATGACAGAGCCATTTTCTAGCCAAGAGGGATTTAGTGATAACCAAGAGGGTTTTGACTGGAGTGGGGGCTCCCTGTGCTCAGATCAGTGTGGTGGGTAGGAGGCAGCCTAAGCGTTTGTCTGCAAGGCACTTTTTATCTCTTTCCCTGATTATGAGATTGGCAAGGGGAGGGAGGTGTTTGTATTCTGTATTGCCTGAAGAGTCCTTATACTGCTCAGGCAGGACCATGGCATGGTCACAGTTCCCTTCCTGGCAGCTAGCTCTCATCGTGTTTGCATCTCCTTAACACTCTCCTCATCTTAGAGCCTTTATCAGCTGCATCATGAAGCCTCTCTCCCTATTTTCCTGCTGGAAGGAAGCTATAAGGCATGGAACAGGTAAATGTGGTACCACAGGTGGCTTTTGTCAATAGAGGAATTGGAGACACCAGTTGGTGCCTATGCTCGGAGCACAGGGAGCTCACAGGCACTGAGGATGGGCTGAAATCAGGGGAACACGGCCCTTCTCTCACATTGCTTCTGGCTGTGCTTTTTCAAAGCAAGCTGGTCTAGCTCGACTCACCAGCCTTGCCCCCACTGGTGCTGTGCAAACCCCAAAATACCGTAAAAACTCCCATGCTCTATCCTCCTCACTCCTCTAGCCACCACCTTGCAGGAAGTCAGGGGCCATCATGTGCCTCTCAGTGTAGGATTTTCTACAGGTATCTAAGCTGTATCTTGACTATGGGCTTCAGGGCAGGATTGAACTAAAAACAGAAGCCAGAAGCTTTTGCAGAGAGCCCCTCCTGATGGCAATGGTTCTGGGCCACCTCACGCACCTCACTGGGCTTGGGCCAGTCTAATGCTCTCAAACACAGGTTGCTTCCCCCTTTTTTTGTGGCAGGAAATAGAGGAAAAGGGCAACATCCCTTGTGAGAACCTAAATATTTTACTCTCCTGCTTTTGTCCTGACTGGCTGGTGTTTACACAGGAGCAAAGAGGCCGGGAGGAAGCGAAGCGATGTGGCTGCTGTGGTTTCAGTTCTCACTCCACCTCGCTACTGAGAAACTGGACCTGTGGTTTGTTTTGTGGCTGGGGGGAAAGAGGAATCGTCCTTGGATCTGATCCCCACTGGGAAGGCGCTCTCAGTCCCACAGACACACCGGCAACACCGATGGGGACTGGAGGAAGAGGAGAGAAAACCAGCCCCCGATAAACCCCACTCCAGCAGCTCCCGGTGCATTAATATTCACCACAGAGCGAGGGGTGTAAATTCACTGCTATCTCCTCAGACTTTGCCGTTTATGCCGTTCATTTCACATAGATGTCACTACTGCCTTATGAGCACTCCTTCGAGCCAGCCGCTTAAATGGACCCAGTGCATTATAGTAATGGAGTAACTGTATAAAAACAATGAAATCCAATCTCTTTAAACTGATTTGATGTCTGCCTGAACCACAACATTTCCTGCTAATGGCTTCCTTCATTTTGTAACCGTGATCTCCACCTGATCAGATTACAGCTGTTTTTAATTACAAAGCTAATAGAGTTTGTAGGCAGTGTCAGGCAGACGGCGCATGCCTGGGGTGGGCACAGGGTGAAGGGAAGCTGGTGGAGGCTCTTCGTGACTCTGCTAACACACTCAGCCCATCAAGCTGACTGTCAAAACATTGGGAGCAGGGGGCAACTAGGAGGGACAGTGGTATTTTTCAGTGTGGAGCCAGCATGCTGCTCTCCAGGTCAGTCTGCATGACAGCAGACAGCCTTGGGTTGTGCTCCTGCTCCATGTTCTTGTCACCAGGCCGGGCAGCTGGTGATGCCCAGGAGATTCGGGGCATGTTTGGTGCTCCTGCAAGGCAGGTGTCAGGGTCACAGGAAGGTATGAGAAGGGCAGAGAGAGCTTTTCTTGATGATGGAGTGTAAAAAGATCAAAGGAATTAAGAAAAAAAAGAAAAAAATACCAGAATAGGAATGCATGGTGCCATTTGACTTCTGCAACTGATGGGACAGGAAAGAGCATTGCAGATAACTGACAGTGGATAAAGCCTTTGAGATTGATGTCTTTCTTATGGGACAGTGCAGTCAGCTGCAGTGTCTGCATCCTCTGCCTCAGCTCAGGCAGAGAACCCCCAGGGATTGTGTCCACGGCACAGCCCTGTCCCCAATGGCCCTGTTTAGTCCAGAGGTTCATTTGTGTATTGATTGCTCCATCTCTCTGGGTTAGGGGCATGGATCAGCATAGCTGCAGGGAGAGGAGCAGTTTGAAAGAGCTGCTCCCAAGCAGTGCTGGCCAGGGACATTTGTATCCAGCAGAGCGTGTGTGTGCTACAGGCAAGCCCCTGTTTGACTCTCTGATGGTGACAAAAAACTGTGTGTGTTACAATGGAGCTGAGTAGCTTGTGTTGATGTTTAGGATTCAGCTGAGGTTGTGCTCAACTGAAGCTGGTTGAAAAATCTTGGCAGAGAAACAGCAGCACCTCCCTTTTGTACCACCCTGTCCTGCCATGTCCAATCTGTTTCCTGGGTTGGTGGAGCTACTCTTGTCTACCAAAGCACAATGCCAGGCAACTGCGATGGCTCGATGGTGAGCAACCCACTTACAGCAGCTAGGGAAGGGTGGGGGCGGGTGGGTGGAGCACCCCGACTCAGCCAAGCCTCTGTGGAGCTGTTCCCAGGCCGTGTGACCTGCTCAGTTAGCCCTGCTGCAGGGGATGCTTGTCCCTTGCTGTTGCAATGCCAGAGCTGCACATGTCAGGTTACTCACCAGCCTTGTAAATGATTTAGGGTCCACATCAAGAGCCCATCAATTATGTACTCTGGGACTTAATTATTTAGCTTGACAGGAGTCTTTCCCCTTAATTTCATTGTCTTCTTGGTCTCCCGTTTCACAACAGAGCTGTGGATGCTCTGCTGGGAAGGGTGCACTGTCACATGTTTCTGCTCCTACACAGTATTGCTCAAACTCATGTTTCCCCCTTTCCTTAGTGGATGAGGAAAACAAGACCCAGACATGATTCCAGGGCAAGGTGAGGGGCTGAGCCCGTGCACCATCACTGCTGTGCTCTGCCCTTGAGTTGTGTGAGGGACTGGACTCTGACACTGGTCTGAGTGAGCAAATTTAGGAGGTTTCGGGGATGCTGTAGGGGAGGTGGGTGCTGGGATGAATTTTTTTGATTTCCAAAATCTTTTCTGTTACCTGGTCACCGACCAGCAAAGAGAAGAGAGTTCCAGAAGCCGTTCCAGAAGCCATTCCAGCAGCCCTTGCAGGTGCTCCCTGGCACCACTGGGGACCCTGCTTGGGGCGATGCCTGCCCGTCCCACTGAGAGCCATCAGCACTGTGCTATCATTCAAGTCAGCACTTTACTCCTCTCCATCCCCTTGCTCTTTTCTTCTCGTTCCACCTCTTCCTTTATCTGAACTTTTAAACTCCATGTCTGGTGCAGATTTTTACAGTAACTCAAGCCTGTGAGAGTTGTTAATGCTGGCGCTGTTTTCACAACGACATTAATATGCACTCATAAGTCGGTCACTGCTGCCGGGAGGCTGCGGGTCTTGGCAGCCATGGGAGAGCAGAGGCGAGGGCATGGCCATGCTCGAGGGGCACAGCTCAGGCAGGCAAGGCCCCAGATTTGACAGGATTTCCTCTCCACGCCACATCTCGCTGTCTTGATATGCCTTTAAACATGTTTATTTTTCAACCCTTAAAAACTACCTTTTCCTAAAATAAATAAAACTAAGACCAGGAGTCTAGGGTTTTAAAGCAACCCTACAATGACAAAGCAGTGTGTGCAGATCAGTTGTCACCAGCAACCCTACAATAACAAAATAATACACGAAACCCATACAACGCTAAAACAACGTCTATGGGCATGTGAGGAAGGAAATATGTTTTCCAGTGTCAAGCTTAACAAGACTTTGTTCTGCAGTAAACTCGGGGGTCAGAAGGGGGGTGTAAGGACCGAAACACCTTGAGTGGTGTAACTTTATTGTCACACAGCAGGCAGGGTCGTGGGACACGTGGCAAACACCACTTCGTTAGCGCGGGGTTTAATAGTCTGGAAAAGGAAAAGAAAGCTAGGTTTTGCGATGAAACAGGAAGTTCCCTCGAATCCTGCAGCCTTTGAAGAATTGTCAAAGGAATGAGAAGTCTGAATGCTTGAAAAGGCTCTGGGTTGTGGAGCCAGAGGGGGCAGGGGGACACAGAGAGGGAGGCATCAAGCACAGACCTTCTCCAGTTCCACACTCCACCCTTTGTTCCCCTTTTCTTTTTTTCTCAAATTAATAGATGGGTTTTTCATTGCTTGATTTTTTTTTTTCTCACACACACACACACACTTTCTGAGGTTAGCAGAAGTTTTCTTATAGTTTGAGCAAAGTCCCGAGCTTACCCCATGCCGTTCCTGGCATGGCATTCCCCACACCTTGCTGCAGAGCAGGACGTGGAAGTAGCTCTGTGATCCAAGCTCTGCTCATGCATGACGCACAAACCATTTTTTTGAGGAAGTGTTTTGGGAGTTTGAAAAGTCCTGGTTAGCTCCATTTTTGGAGGTTTTTTTCCTTTTTTTTCCCCTTTTTTTTTTTTTAATTAATTTCTTTCTGCCCCTTTTGTTTTTTGCGCGTGGCGTTTCTGTGTGGTGGTAGGAGCAGATGGGCAATGCCTCTGCTTCTCATAGTGCCTGGTCAGATGAGTCACCAAAGAAAATTTCTGTATGATTTCCAAAATATTTTCTCAGCACTTGAAATACAAATATGCTGCAAAAGGGTAATTCAGTGGCTTAGTTATTACTAGAGGGAACCTTGTTGCCACAGAACTGGTGATAGTGATGATGGTGATGGTGATGATGATGATGATGATGAAAGGCTGGTCAGGGCTTAAGTTTAATGACCTGTTGTATGCCAGGGACTGCACATAAGACCTGTGAGAGATTTTCTGCCAGTTGAAGGCATCGGGAGGATGCCCAGTGCTGGAGGGATGCCTGCAGGCATGTATCCACAGGGAATGGGTTTCATTTACTTGCAAGCCTAAGGTGAGGACCAGCTCTTTCTTCTTGTCTGCTGAGGGAAACAGGATCTGCCCTTCCCAGGGAAAAACTGCTGGAGATGAGTTGCCTTTTCCTCTTGCAGGGTGCCCTCCTCAGTGCCCAGAAATGGCAAGACACGAGCACCAAGGTGGCTGAGAAGGGAGCACCCAGCTGGTCTGCAGAGAGGGTGAGCCTGGCGAAGGGAGACTGGAGGGAGAGCCAAGAGACTGTCATGACACCGTGCTTTCCTCTGTGCTAATTGTACGCTTGGGACCAAATTTAGACTGGTGTAGCTCTGCTGAAGTCACCAGGGATTAATTTGGCCTCTAGTGGCTCCATTGTTTTAGCTAAATGAGTCAGAAGAAGCAGCCTATTCTTATCTGCGCACAGTGGGGCAGTGGCAGTAATAGCTCAGCGAGGCAGACCCCAAAAGCAGCGTGACTAGGACCTGGGATTGGAGCTTCCACGAGACAAATGGGGCTGTAAGAGGAAATGTTTTGACATTTGGGTTATAGATGGAGGCAGGCTCAGCGTGGGTGCGCTAGTGGCGCTCACCGCTGCTGCAGGCAGAGGGGAAGGGGGCTGTCAGGTTCCCTGAATATTCGGCGGTGCCGTTTGGAGTTCCTCAATTCTTAGGCCACCGGAGAGGGAAGCTGTGGCTCTGGAAGGGGCACGTGGTGTCAAAGGGGACTTCACACCACTTCCCGGCCCGGTGAGAAAGGGAGCCCAGGCTGGAAATGTCCAAAAAGCACCGTCTGCATCCCTGGGCTGCTTGTGCATCTACCTGCGTCTGGGTGCGGGGAAGGAGTGGTGGAGTGGAGCACAGGCTTGCAAAGGGCTGGAACAAGAGTTTTGGGCACAAGTTTTGACTGCTGGCCCAAGGCAGCATGCTGGTTTAGTGTGTTGTGAATTCCCTCAAACTTCTGGGAAATTGAGGATGATTTGGAAAATTGAGATTTTTCCAGCCCATGTTCAGTACGAGCTGTTTCCAAGCAGAGAGGTATTTGCTGGATGGACTGTGGGAACTGTGTGCCTTACCCAGCCAGCATCCAGCCTTGTGGCATGCAGTCTTGGAGAGGAAATGGAGCAGGCAATGGAGATGAAACTGTTGTCCCCCTTCTCATGCCTGTTGCTGCACCCAGTCTCCCCTTTTCATGCTGTACCCACTGGGCAGATAAGCACAAGACTTCAGACTCCAAGGCTGTCAACCTGGCACATTTTGCTCTTTAAAGCGATTACAAAGGGAGATCTTCTTCTGAAGATGGAGAT